AGAATGTCCCATTTTTTAAAATTTCTATGATAATTTCCTCCTAGGGTTATTTAGTTTATCAACTGTTTTCCTGAAACCTCTATTTCCTAAAAACAGGAAGTTAGATACTAAGAATTAATCAGCGATTTCTGGTAAGGTCAATGTGATCCTTTCCTTGTGGTTAGATTGTACGTCTGACTGTTCAGTTCCATAGCAACAAATATCTTAATGGTTTTGATTCCAATTAATAAAACTTGCTCAAGTGAATTGTTTTATTAGAGTTGCCTACTGATAATTTTCTAATTTTATTGTTTCTTGCACATTGATTAGCTAGCTATTTTTCAGTTTAAGTCTACTTTTCCCTTAAGAGTTTGGAAACACAATTCCTACTGGAAATTCAGACAATGCTAAATATTGTTCCCCTTCTATTTTTTAAAGTAAATCTTGGTCATAAGCCATCTTAGGTGGTTAGAAAAGTAGGTTTCCTACTCTTTCTTTTTGGAGTATAATTTTAAACTTCTGGATGTTCACAGATTTAAAGTGTTTCAATCAATTACTATTTTTGGGTTTTTTTTATATTCGAGGTATCAGCTTTTTTCATTCTGGGTCCCTTGAAGTTGGCTCATGGGTCTTTATGTCCTGGACTCACTTTAAAAAGTTTCTTGTTTTCTGTCACAATAAGTATCTCAAGCTCTTGTTCTTTTCCTTACTGAACCCCACTTATTTCTAGCTATAAATGGTTTTGAAGACTAAAATGAAAATTTTAACGTACAAATTGTTTCTATGTCCAAAGAAATATGTGTATTTAGAAATCATGTTTTAAATAATATTTCCAGTTTTGTTTTAGCATACAGCATATTTATTTTTATTTTTTTCTTTTATTGAAAACATTAATTCATAGTATTAACTTATATATTCTCTCCCTCAATGTACACAACATTAGTTCCTACATACCAGTAAACTAGAAATTAAAAATGCAGAATGACATTTAACTATTTTTTTTTTAAAAATTTGTTTACAATAGATCTTGCTAAGTACATATAATTATATATAGTACTGGCTCATTTGCAGAGAATACTTTTCTTGTTTAGTTTCTAATTTGATGCATTGTTAGCCTTATCTATTTGGGGAATTCTTTTCTATTTAAGGAACTTCTTTATGTTTTCACTTTTGACTTTTAAATAGTTGAGAAATGTTATCTTAGTGCTTTTAATTTGTATTTCTCATATTACCATTGAATTTGAGCAACATTTCATATGTTTAGTAACATTTTTATTTCTTTCACAAATTTCAATAAATGTCTATATATTTTTTGTATGATGCTAGTCTTACTTTCTGCATTTGTAGCCCTTTATTTTCAGGTGATTAGCTTTTTGTCTGAGATATAAGTGGTAATTATTGTTTCTAAAGTATTCGTATTTTGACATATTAATATTTAATTCTTTTGGCAATGTAGAAACTTTTATTTTAGCCAGTTAAATTAATTGTTTTCTCCTAATGGCTTCTGGACTTTGAGGCCCAGTTATAGAGACCATATCTACTCCCAGGTTTTAAAGGAATTTATCATATTTTGTTTTACTAATTGCATGATTTTGAGGCAGATTGTAAGAAACTAGGAAAATTTCTAGGCAAGTGGAATGGGAAAGCGGAGACAGATAGCCAAACAGATGCCCAAATCTTATCTTCCCTAACCAAGGACACTTAGGAGAAAATGGTGTAAACAATCCAGACCTTGCTGGGTAGAACTAGTCCCCTCTTCAGTGACATTCTTAGAAGGTGAAACTGATCAGAGAATGACCCTGATCTCTTTATACACTAATTTTAATTATTTAGCATATTAAAGAACACACCTGGAAAGCTGATGAATATTCTATTGAGATCCTCCACTGTGGTCTCCCCTAAAATTCCAGCCTTTAGAAAGCAGATAAAATCCTTCTAAGACAAGGGACCCAGTGCAGACTTTCCCTTAAGCACACTCCTGTCCCCCTTCACCAGGCAGGTATCTTTGCTTTCTTTCTCCTAAGCTCTAAGGATCTCCATGAGACTTAAATCCCGGGGAGCAGTGTGCAGCAGCAGCTCGTCCCAGCCTAACCCCCTGAACCTGTTCCAAGGGACTTCTTTTTGCATCTCTAACTTGTTTCCTTAAGTCCACGCAGACCAGCATGGCTCACTTTTTCTGCCTCTGTGCCTTTCTTCATAAAGGGCCAAGGCAGCCTCACCTAGGCTTGACTCTTTTCCTCACATTTCCAAAGGGCCAAGGAAGCTCTGCCTTAGCTCACTCCTGTTGCTATGATCTTGTTTCCCCCATTCTAAGCCTTTCCTTTGTTTCACTGTCCTCAGCTTTAAGAAATGTACTTCCAAAATCACCAGGCCTTGTGTTGTTAAATCTTTCCTCCATGAAGTCAAGAATCTACATATTCCAGGCCATGCTGCGGTAGAACTGCCTTGGTTCTGGTCCCTTTCGGGTAACAACTTTATTTATCTATTTAATTTTTTGGATATATGAGAAATTCATCTTGGTATACAATATGTAGATCAAAACATACTTTTTCAGATGGGTATTCCGTAGTTGCAAAATTGTTTACTTAAAAGTGAATCTTTTACCCAATGATTTCTGATGTATTGACCATGATCTTGACCAGCACTCTATACTGCCTTTCACAATGAAGATATAATAGCAGTAAATTTTAATACTTGAAATTAAAAACTATTATCATTTTAACTCATTTTAGAATTACAATTGCAAATGGACAGATCCAACCACAGTAGAATTTTTTTTTTTTTTTTTTAGTATGTGCTCCTATTGGGAACCGAATCCAGGACTCTCTGGTCCACAAGCCGATGCTCCAACCATTGAGCCAAACCAGCCAGGGCCACAGTAGAAGATTCTTGATCTACTTCCTTCAGTCCTTAGAAATTCAAGTACACACACACACATTCACACACACACACATACACACCACACTTAAAAGTCATAAAAATATTAAGATACAAAAGTTATTTTCTGGAGGTAGACTATTTTAGATTAATTTTTTTTCTTACTTTATACTTTCTTTGTATCCTCACCTGAGGACATTTGTGCATTTATCTTCAGATAGAGCGGGAGGGAAAGAGGGAGGAAGAGAGAGAGAGAGAGAATCATCAATGTGACAGAGACACATGGACTGGTTGCCACCCACACGACCCTATCCAAGGCCAGGAACAAACTGCAACAGAGGTACGTGGCCTTAGCAGGAACGGAACCCAGGACTCTCTGGTCCACAGGCCGACACTTTAACTGCTGAGCCAAACCGGCCAGGGCTCCATTTTATACTTTTAAGTATAATTTTCTTATTATAGAAACAAGTATGCATTTATATATATAGTAAGCACAAGATTAAGATATTTACATATAGTTGGCCCTCCATATCTGGGGATTTCTCATGTGCAGATTCAATCAACTGCAAGTAGAAAATATCAGAAAAAAATATTACATTGTTGCTGACATATATTATTTAGTCTGGCCTAAAACAGATGCATTTGTACTCAACATGTACAGACTGTTTTCCTTGTCATTATTTCCTTAACAATACAGCATAACAGCTATTTACATGGCATTTACATTGTATTAGGTATTACAAGTATTCTAGAGATGATTTAAATTATGCAGGAGGACTGCGTAGGCTGTATGTAAATACTTTGCCATTTTATATAAAGGTATTGATCATCCACAAATTTTGGGTATCCTTGAAGGTCCAGGAACCATCCCCCATTGATACAGAGGGTTGACTGTATAATATTACATACACATAATTTCTAATTATAAATTATTTTGTCTAAAATCTGTTATTAAATCTGTAAAATGTTTTTATCCATATTAGAATGACTAAATAATTTTAATATTAAATTGAAATCTGTGCTACACTTTGGTAAGTCAAAAACAAATGTTTAATTTCCAGAAACTAGTTACTTGAAAATATTTTAGTTTTAAGAAGTAAATAAGATTAAAAATAAGATACATAATGCCTACAACTTCATTAACTTGGAATTGTATAAAGAAGTTAAATTTCTACTCCTGAATTATTTTATGGAAGTCAATTAATCCTTAGTCACAGTTGCTAAAATTTGAATATAAGATAAATTATTTAACATAGGGAACTTGGCCTGGCCAAGTTGTGGCTCAGTGGTTGAGCATCGACCCATGCACCAAGAGGTCGCCATTTCGATTCCCGGTCACGGCACATGCCCAGGTTGTGGGCCAAATCCCCAGTGAGGAGACATGCAAGAGGCAGTCAATCGATGTTCTTTCTCATCGATGTCTCTCTCTCTCTCCTTTTCCCTTCCTCTCTCTCTAAAATCAATAAAGAAGAAAAAAATTAAGAAAATAAAACAAGGAACTTGTATTCCTTTAAAATCTTATAGGTGACGGACTAAGTGGCCTTGATATCAGGTTTTCATATTTTTATCAGTCTATATTATATCTAGTTTTATGGCATAAATATTTTAACTTGGTCTTTGAGACTTAATATTTATGGTCTTAGGGAAATAGGTCTCATTTGGAATATAATTATTAACCTAAATATAAAGGCCAAAGTGGGAAGCAATAAGCATTTATTTGAGATCCAGAAGACTAGCTTTTGGGGAAGCGCTGACCCAGATAGACACCCCAAAAGCATCCCTATCTGAAGAGGAAGGCAGAGGGTATGAGAAAGACAAGGGGAATGTCTTTCCTTTACATGAATAGAAGACATTTCTATAGATACAGAAAAGATCACATAGTGATCCTAATCCTGAACGATGTCTTCAAGTCCGGTAGCCCTAATACTTGCATTCTTGTTATGTTTGCAAAGGGTTGTTTGGAATAGAGTGCTCCTTTAGATGTGGCCTAAAGGTTATTTTGCTCAGTTTTATCATTTGAAAGGTTTGAGGAATAAGACAGGCAAGGTAGTTTTTCTGGCTTGGCAAACAGCTCTAACTGCACTTTAAAGTGCCTCTGTTTATATTATTTTTCATAATAATCAAGTGGAAATTATATTATTAAGAAATTATCTCAGAGGGAAGGACCCGCGGAGGAAGCCGATCCTCTGCCGGCGCCGGTGGACGGTGTCGCAGGCGGAGGCCACCGTGAGCGGCTCCAGGATGACTATGACCCCGACGCAGTTGGAGAGCCCAGCGACCAGGAGCCGGCTTGGAGCAGTCTGAGGATGAAGTGTAAGTGCTTTTACATGGAACTCCTGACCCCAAACGAAAACTCATCAGACAATGTCTTACTGGAGAAAGTGAATCATCTAGTGAAGATGAACTTGAAAAAGAAATGGAAGCTGAATTAAATTCCAGCATAAAAACGATGGAGGTCAAATGATCCTTCCTGGGAACAGGGTCTTCTTCAGGAAATGGGTACGTTGGGACAGCTTCGACAAAGTACTATGATGATATATATTTTTATTCTGATTCTGAGGATGAAGACAAAACAGCACAGGTGAGCAAGAAAAGAAGAAGAAGAAGAAGAAGAAGAAGAAGAAGAAGAAGAAGAAGAAGAAGAAGAAGAAGAAGAAGAAGAAGAAGAAGAAGAAGAAGAAGAAGGAGGAGGAGGAGGGGGAGGAGGAGCACTGGATTCCAACAAATGATGAGTTACTACATGATCCTGAAAAAGAGAACAGAGATCAGGCCTGGGCTGATGCACGGAGATGGGGCTACCATGGTTTTGGAATGCAGAGGCCACGTCAACAACAACAGCCTGTTCCAGATAGTGATGCTGTCTTGAATTGCCCTGCCTGCATGACCACGCTGTGTCCTGATTGTCAAAGGCATGAATCATACAAAACTCGGTATAGAGCAATGTTTGTGATGAATTGTTCTGTCAACAAAGAGGAGGTTCTACAATACAAAACCCCAGAGAACAGAAAGAAAAAACGAGGCGGTAAGAAGATGAGGTCTAATCATGAAGATGCTGCAGAACAGGCAGAGACAGACGTGGAAGAAATCTATCACCCAGTTATGTGCCCCGAATGTTCTACTGAAGTGGCGGTCTATGACAAGGACGAAGTCTTACACTTTTTCAATGTTTTAGCAAGCCATTCCTAAATAACTGAGTTGGCATTTAATTGTCCAATACTGTATATAAGGCAAATATATAAGGACAGTTATTTTTTTCCTGTTGATTCATATCATTCTGAGTGGTTATTTGAGGAAGCAGTGTTTTATTCTGTTTGAAAGAGAATGGTTACCAGCCTTCATCTCTCCCTCATCTTAAAAAAAATTTCCCCCAGCTCTGTTGGGACTGATTATTCATTCTCTTTTTGATGGACTTTGGAAACTTGGGGCTTTTTATTTATTAAAGCTCTTTAGAATTAAAATGTTCTGGAGTTATAAGTTAAAAAAGAAAAGAAAAGAAAAGAAATTATCTCAGGGGGAGTTATAATTTTTTTTCTTGATCCAATTTTCCAAAAGAATTTAGAGAAAAGACAAGGTTGGCATGTTGTAAGAATGCTAAGTTCATTTGAGTATTGGGATAATAAACATAAGGTAACATCTGTTTGCAAAAGGATGCATTAAAACAATGCCTCTCTGAATTTTGCACTCACATTTATAAGACAGTGACTAATACTAACTTTAAGTTGACAAATTAATTAAAGAAATAAGTAAATCTATTTCTAGTATTTGAACAAGAAGAATTCAGATAAAAATCTAACTCCCATAGGGGACTGTGAGATCCATAGTGCATACTCATAAGAAAAGAGTTTATATCTGTTTTCTCTTATATTGTCAATTTCAAAAGTAAATATGAAAATTTTATTTTTCCAAATATTAAACAAACGAATGAATTGTAAATTTATGTGGGGTACATACAGCCCTCTAGGTTCACGAGAGAAACTTTTATCAATTCAAATCTTAGAAGGCAAGGCAAAGTTAAAATGCTTTTTTTAAAAATCTTTTTTTTAAATTAATTAATGTATTTACTTTTGTTACAGATGTTTCTCCTTTTCCTCCCACTGATTCCCCTCCCCCCTTCCTCCCCGCCCTGTCCCCAGCTTTGTTGTCCATGTCCATTGTTCATGCACACATGCATATAAGTTCTGTGGTTTATCTCTCCCCCACCACCCCCTCTTCTGGAGATTGTCAGTCTGTACTCCACTTCCATGTCTCTGGGACTACCCCATTCCTCAGACTGTTATATTCTTTTTAATCTTTTTTATTATGGTGAGTCAAAGGCAAATATTTGCTGAGTTTTCTGACTTTTAGTTATATATGTATATATAACTAATTATAATCCATTACAGAGTAAAAGAAAAACAATAAAATTGTCACCACAAAAATATGGAATATTTAGTGATTATTATTAAACATAAGAAACATTCTTAAAAAGTGACCTTTGTCTTAGATTCATAAGTTGGATTTCAGAAGCTAAAAATGAGTTTGTTTGTGAAGAGGGGAGGTAAACCCCTGCATCCAGGCCAAAGAGCATACGTAGAAAAGGGGGCGTTTTTCAATATGAAAAACAGATTAAGCTAAGACATGGAGATAAGAAAAGTTGATATAATTCCAGGGAACTATGCTGTACTTGTTATAAACACCAAACAGAAATGGGGGAAATAATAAACACATATTTGAAGACTGAATACGAGGATTAAATGGTCTTAAAAGTTGACTTTTATTATATTATTATGATTATTGTTAAAAAACAAAAATCTAGTTGGCTTTATTAAGCAATTCATGCGTTGGGCAGCAATGAGAAGGGCTCTCTGGGGGCGTTTGGGAGACTTTTACAGGAAGAAGGGTGGAGCAGGGAGCTATTACAAGAAAAGAAAGGATTATTTTAGGGCCAGGGCATCCTTTTCTTTGAAGGAAGAATGGGAAGGGTTTTTCATATAGAGATTGCCTCTTCTGTCTACGTGGAATGGAGAGATCCCTATGACAGAGTGCCTTACTGGTACTTGACAAGAAAACTTCCCACTGTTTGGTTGGAATTGTCTCTGGGAAAGTTTGATACTGCAGTTAAGTCAGGTATTAAATCTAGGCTTGACATCACAGGCTTTTAGCCAAGTGAAGCCATTTGGGGCCTATTGTTTTCTCTTCAACAATATAAATAGAGAGATAACAGGCTGCATTATTGGTCAATATCCTCCAGAGAAACAAAACCAATAGGTTGTATAGAGAGACATAGAAAGAGTCTTATTGTGAGGCATTTTCTCATATTATTATAGGAGAATTGCATGGATTGCCTTTCTCCTTTGCTAGTGGGAGTGGGGTTCTTGGGGTTCTAAAGGAATATGTATTTCCAGAGGCCCCCACAGGAGGATGAGATGTGGTAGAAAGCTTTATTTCTGTGGAATTACATCCCTGTGTTTCTAAAGTCTCATTTCCCTTAAACCAGTCCTGGAAGAGGTGCAGCTAGGGATTCAGCAGAGCTAGAAGCAAAGCCAGTGTCCAGAGTTTCCATTTCATGGTGGGGCTGGGTCTGACAAGCATCAGGCTAGTTCCAGTCCATCAGTCCATTGTGTGGGGTGCACCTGGCCATGAGCCAGGTGGGTGAATGCAGGGGAGCGTGCCCCCTGCAACAAGAGAATTGGGAGCACAGCTTGCAAGAGAGAGGACTCTTCGTTTAGGAGCTATGTATCTCAAATCTTCCTGCACTTGCAGTGGCCTACTCTGGCCAATGACCTGTTCTCAGGTGTGACTGACAGGCAAGTACCTTCCCACGTCACCGAGACTTGACTGGGTGTGCATCTGTTTGGCCTTTTCTTTGCTCCTTTCCAGTCAATTAATAACTGAGTTCACCACAATGGTATGGATATGATTATGGAGCCTTAGAAGCCTCATAATCTGCTTTATTCAAACTGGAGACCCAAGAAAGCTGGTGGTGTAGCTCTTTCTAGTCCAAGTCCAAAGGCCTGAGAGCCAGGGCAGTGAATGGTGTAAGTCCCAGTTTGAGACTAAAGGCCTGGGAACCGGGAGTGTGATATCCAAGGGCAGAAATAAAATCAGTGTCTTGGCTCAAGCAGAGAGCAAATTTGCACTTCCTCTACATTTTTGATTATTGTTGTTTTTGTTGTTAATCCCCACAACAATATCCACAACAATGGATATTTTTCCATTGAGATTTTATTTATTTATTTATTTATTTATTTATTTATTTATTTATTTATTTATTTTGACAGAGTGGAAGGGATGGGGAAAGAAACATTGATGTGAGAAAGACCCATAGATTGGTTGCCTCTTGCATATACCCCCACCGGGACTGGAATCAAACTTGCAACCCAGGCACATGTCCTTGACTGGGAATCGAACCTGTGACACTTCAGTCCACTAGCCGATGCTCTAACTGCTGAGCCAAACAGGCCAGGGCCTTCCTCTACATTTTTGTTCTATCCAGGCCCTCAAAGGATTGGTTGGTGCTGATTTACATTGGTTAGGGTCATCTTCTGTACTTACTCTGTGAATTCAAATGTTAATCTCTTCCAAAAAAATCTCCCTCATAGACACACTTGGAAATAATTTGCTATCTGGGAATTCCTTAGCCTAGTCAAGCTGACATCAAATTAACCATGGCACAGATTTTCTTTTAATTGTGGTAAAATATACATCACATAAAAGTTATCATTTTCACCATTTTAAGCATAAAATTCAGTGGCATTAAGTACATTCATGATGTGCAACTATCACTATCCATTAGGTAAATAATTATTAATGCTATTATATATTTTAAATATTATCAATAATCCTTGAAAGCATTTGGTTGCATTTTCTATTCTGGTTCTACTTATAAAATGTTTCCAGCTTTTAAAATTTCTTCAAAAATACTTTAAGAAAATGCAACACCAAATTTATTTTGAAGGCTGGAACCTAGGATGTTTCATATCTCCACATCTTATGTGAAGTGAAGCATTTTGATTTACCAACCCAAGAGCTTTCTAAATGTTCTTTTCAGGCAATTTCTTTAAACAGCAATACAGTTATGACAGGTTGGATTACAGCATTTAGCACTTTTCCAGGAGTTTTTTACATGCTTTCTGCCTTTCAGGAAGATCTATGCCAGACATCACAGATATGAAATAAATATATTTTTATTATGTATTCTGGAGTGTGTGATGTCACCCAAGCATTGACAAGAAATCTATTTTCTCCTAGCAGGAAAACTTGAATAATCAAGTGATCTCAAAACATTTAATTCTCTCTAGACATAAACTAAAAATAATTTATCTGGGAATGTGATTGGTGGATTTGGAGTTCTTGGGGTACCATGAGGAAAAGAATTTCCTGAGGACCCCTTGGAAGGATAGGGTTTTGTGGAAAGCTTTATTGATGATATAAAATTAAGGGGTTCCCCTCCAATTCCCCGTCTCTATCCATCTTGCCATGGAAGAAGTCCAATCTTATCTTCAGAAAGGCCAGAATTAAGGCCACTGCCCGTAGTTTCTGTTCCATATTAAAGTCCAGCCCAGTTCTACATCTGGCTAGCTAAGCTTGTGTTCCCAACTGCAATCCATTGTGCATGGAGTCAGTACACTGGGCCATGGGCCGTGCGGCTGCTTAAGGCTACGTGGCTAAGGAGAGGGAATGGGCGAGTCACGGGTCAGTGTGGGTCACTAAGCAAGAGAGCAAGAGAGGACAAGAGTGAGGAAACTCTTTGTCTAGGGATTTTAACCAGGAGCTTCTTCAAACTAACCAATTAACCTTTCCAAGATTTCAGCCCTTCTGATGGCGTCCACCCACAAGCTAATCCATTGTTCCCATGCTAGTCTGAGAAGCAAGTACCTCCCCTGAGTCACCCCAACTTCACCGCACATGAACCCATCTCCCACTTTGATCCCTTCCCCTCGTGATCTGCAGCGAATGGACCTGTGGTTCCCTGGGGAGTGTGAAGCTGTAGCCCCTGGCGAAGATGCCCAGATGACCATACTTACAATGTCTGGTCTCCCCTTTGCTCTCTTCCTTTATTAATATTAACTAGCTTATTATGATGATAACAGGAATATATATTCATTGGCAGCATATGAGCAAATACGTATTCTATATTTTGAATGTTAGACTGAAATAAAGTTTGTGATCATTTATATCTCAGAATTTGGTAATTAAAGAAACAA